GGGGCGCGGCGGAGGAGGCGCGGCGGCTGGAGCAGCGCTGGGGCTTCGGCCTGGAGGAGCTGTACAGCCTGGCGCTGCGCTTCTTCAAAGGTGAGCCGGGCGGCCCCGGCAGTCCGGTCCCGGCCGGGGTGGCCCTCGGGGCGACGGGACCGGGCCACCCGTGCTGGCCGCGGCGACCGGAGCCCAGCGCCGTCCTTGGGGGCACCCGAAGTTTGTCACCACCCGCTGGGCCACCGGGTCACACCCCTGCAGGGCCTGGAGCCTGGGTTTAGCAGTCGGAGCCCCGCCTCCCCGAGGTGACCAGGGCGTGTTACCTGATTCAGCTTCTCGGGTTTCCACGAGCCGGGGTGGAAGCAGGAGCCCCCTCCCTCCCGGAGGATCCCACCGTCACGTTCCTTTCCCTGCTGCCTACGTCTTGGCGCATCAGACTCCCAGCGATTTTTACCCTTTTTCCATAGTGGAAGAAATCTTTCTATAGGTTCCATAACCTCCCCTTTCCAGTCATTCTGGGGAACCATAAACTCGAATAGGACGTGCTCACCTGGCAGTGTTGATGTGGTAGAGACGAGGAAGTAAAGTCTTAAGCTAATACATCCCCTCTGGCTTGTCAAACCGTAAAGAGAAGGGATGCCCACTCTGTTCTAGCAACTTCTAGATGGTTAAAATTTTACGTTATAAGCAATGTGCAAGAGTGAATTTTCAGAGTAAGGTCTGAAAGAACTCTCTGTGCTTCTCGCAGAATTAATTGTAAAATGTTTCTTAGAGCAAGATTGTGGTGTGTGGATTTTTTGTTGGTTGATTCGCTTAGTCAAATGGTGGTGATACCGGTCACATGATCTTGTCAGTGGGAAAGACTGATGAGAAGCCCTTTAGTTTGATTTAGAGATATTTAGATCTCGTGGGGTGGATGGGCAGGGAGAGACTTCGGCAAATGAAAGTTTAAAAGTGGTTGCTAGGTTCCGTATACATTCCAGAACAGCATATTTATGACACTCCTCCCGGAGGGAGTACCATTTGGAGTACATATTTTACTAGCTGAAGTCGAGTAGTTCAAACTGCTCAAAAGTTATTTGTTTTCTCTCAAAATAACTTTAATTGTGCCAGGTAATGAAGGTCTCTCTTTTATAAAATGTCCAGAGCATTTGGTCTTTCCACGTTCATTGCATTTTTTATTAAAAAGTTTACCCTTGAAATATTCATCATCATTGTCCAATGAGTTCAGCCCTCTGTGCACCAGCTAGCTTGGGGACTTGGTAACGGCTAATGGGTTTTGAATCACTTGACCCTTAGGTCACTGGCTTGAATTTAGAGTTTCCTGTGGTGATGATACAGGACAACTTATATAAAAACCAGGTGGTTTCTGAACAATTCATATAACTACATTGCACCTTAAATTTCTTTTCTTGGAACTTATTTTTCCAGTGTTCAATAAGATTAAAGTATATCATAGCAGAAGAATGTGTAAGAATAGAAAAGAACCAACTTCTAAGCCTAGCTTTTGCCACGTGACTAACAAAAAAATAAATGGGTAATTTCATCTTTTGAGTCTGTCTTATTTGAAAATAGTAGTAATATCGTCTTTGAAACATTAGAACACTATATAGGGCCGGCCCCGTGGCTTAGCGGTTAAGTGCGCGTGCTCCGCTGCTGGCGGCCCGGGTTCGGATCCCAGGCGCGCACCGACGCACCGCTTCTCCGGCCATGCTGAGGCCGCGTCCCACATACAGCAGCTGGAAGGATGTGCAGCTATGACATACAACTATCTGCTGGGGCTTTGGGGGGAAAAATAAATAAATAAAATCTTTAAAAAAAAAAGAACACTATATAATGTACAATAAACTTAGCATAGCTTTGGGAGTCAGGAAGCCCTGGATTCTATTTATGGTGTAAACTCCTAGACAATTAACTTTCCTCTTCCAGACTCAGTTTCCATATATATATGGAAAATATATATGAGCTGGATTAGATGAAATTTGACATCTCAGATTTAAGATTTAGTGATCTAAACCTAACGTTATTTTAACATGTTGGTTGAGTAGTAGGACTCCTGGGGGAACCTGTCATTTGGGGGCCTAGTTATCTGCCACCTTAGAGGAAAAAAGCTGCATTGATAGGTATGGTTCACTCAGTTCCTGGGTTAAGCTTTCAGGGCACTATCCAGGTACTTAAAAGGAGAAATAGTGGTGTAGCAATTAAAAGCTCCCTTTCTGCGTGGATCATTATATAGTTAGCGATGAAGAGGCTATCAGTATATGAGATACCTACCTGGGGAGAACACAAAAAAAGAAGGATGGAAAAGCAGTCAGAAGGATTATGGGAAGTGGGGTGAGTCAAGCATTGCTGCCTTTGTTTTAATGTGTGAATTTTTTCAGTGTTAATACTTGACATTTTTATCAATCTTGCAAGATAGATAGATCACTACTTGGTGGTTTTGTACTAGTATCTCACAAGAATTAGAAATAACATTACATTTTATCTTCCACTGTGGAATAAATAAGAATCTGGAAAACATGGATATCTTTTTCCATGGAAAATAACTTGGATTGGGAATCAAAAGCTCTGTTTCTCATTCCATCTCTGTGACAGTGGTCACAGGCCAGTGACTGAACCCATTATGTCAACTGCCTACCCTCTTAATTTTATCAAGATAAAAGTAAAATAATAGATGACAATATGGGCAAATGTAAGTTAGCGTTTTACCATCTAAACTTCAGACATTGTTGAATCCTTGTTATGGGTCAAGTTTTATGTTAGTTTACCACTGTAAGTGACATTCCCTTTTGCTAGTAAGGAACTTAGAGTCCAGAAGAGGAGTTAAAGACGCAGTGACAACTGCAGTACAATGTGGAGGATCCAGGGAGCAGGTGCCATTCCAGAGAGGGGGGAAGGCAGGAGCAGTGAAAGGGCGAGGCATGTGTGTCTGGGAAATGGCGAATAGGGAGTAGTTTGATGGAGAGAGCTAGGAAGGGAGGTTGGTGTCAGATGGGTGGAAGGACTTGAATGCTGTTGTAAATAGCCTTTTTCTCAGTAGACAGTGAGGAACCATTGAAGGTTTTTAAAGGGAGGAGCAAAGTTGTCCAGTTCTAGTTTAGCAAGGCTAAGCTGGTTTTCTTATCTCTTTGGGTAAGGACTAAACTGGTTGGCTTTGTTATAGCCTTTATACTTCTTGGATGGAGTTAACCTGGGGAGTTGTATTTTGGTTTTTAGGGTTCTTGGTGAATTTTTCCTTCTCTAATGCTTTATTACCTCATTAGATTAAGCTGGTAGATGATTGCATCAATTTAAAATTCCCGAGTTATAATTGCCACCAGTTATTGGGCTGATGTTCACTAAACGTCACGCACTTTATTTAATCCTGCATAAGCCCCTCAGTGAGGGTATTGTCCTGGCTTCTTAGTGGAGGAACTTGCCCCAGGCCCCTCAGTTACTATTAGTAAGAGGCAGGATTGGTTCTGTCTCTGTCACTCCAAAGGCAGCTCTTCCCACTACAGGAGATGCAAAGCAGTTAGGAACCGTGCTTTTTCGTGTGTGTGTGTGTGTGGAAGATCAGCTCTGAGCGAACATCCATGCTTTTTCCATGCTTTTTCGTGTGTGTGTGTGTGTGTGTGTGTGTGTGGAAGATCAGCTCTGAGTGAACATCCATGCCAGTCCTCCTCATTTTGCTGAGGAAGACTGGCCCTGGGCTAACATCCGTGCCCATCTTCCTCCACTTGATGTGGGACGCCGCCACAGCATGGCCTGACAAGCGGTGCGTTGGTGCGCGCCCAAGATCCGACACGGCCGCCAGCAGCGGAGCACGTGAACTTAGCCGCTACGCCCCGGGGCCGGCTGGGAACCCTGCTTTTTCTGATGGTGTTCTGAGGAGAATGTTCAAAACTGCCTACCCTATTGCCTTTTCACGTTTTGGAATTTCTTTAATATATTTGCTTGAAAATATTAAGGGCTAAGAGAAAGATTCATATTATTTTTCTATACATGATCACTTTATCACGAGTCTCTTCAGATACTGGAAAAGTGAGAGAGAACCATCTACTCTGAGTTCCTACATAACATTGCTGTCAGGTTTGAAATTTTGAATGAAGTGGGGAAAAAATCACCTCCAAATATTGATATGCTAAATCCCATTGCTACTAATACAGTATTAGAGCTTTTGGGAGGCCTGCATTTAGCTGATGTAATGATTTTTGTTTTACTCTTGTAAATTGAAAATGGATTTGTTAATTCATTAGCGATTGGAAAATGGTGATATTCTAATTGTCTTTCCTTCACCAGCGTTCTTTTCCTCATATACTATTTGGTTTGGGGTTCAAGTTCCAATAGGAAAGAAAAGATCGATGCTTCTTTCCCTTGATTTATTAGTTTTCAAAAGAATGAGTTGTTTCCCTAGCAGCCTCAAAAGGTGATAAAGTTTTTTAATGTCATTATGTACTCGAGTTTTTAAACATACTTGATTTTTAAAACAAATTTTTTTTATCTCTTGTTGTTCTTGATATGCCATCTTCAGCAAGTGGGAGCCTCATCAGATTGGCTCCTGAGTTCATTTGACATGACTTGTAGTCTTCTGTAGCTTCCTTGCTATCTGGTATGATGAGATAGTCCAGGTTCGTCTTATATGGTTTCTGCCTCAGCAGGAATCAGCCATTTCTCCAAGGAGACATGGTTACTTTTAGTGGGAATTGGCATTTAAAGAGCTATAATCTAGGCAGTGGGAGTGGGTGCTCATTGCTACTGGATTGGTCATTATTTCTAGGCCTTTTCAGTAGACAGATCTAGGGTATGTTGTATGAGGGGATTATTTTTGAGGGTGTGATATGTAAAAGGAAGCTGTAGTTGAATTTGGAGGAACTTAAGTGTTGGACTCAGTTTTTTTATGGAATTGTTAATGCATTTCCGCTAGCATTGCTGTTGATTACACTCAATTATATTACTGATAGCAGAGAAGCAATTATATGGACGTGCTGAAATGGTTCCATTTTCTTTTGTTTTCTTTAAATATATGCATGTACAAGAACTTTTACTACTGGCTCCATTAATGTTTTAAAATACTGTATAGCTGTAATTTATTCTTTGGTAACATATATAATTAGTGC